AAATATTCAAGAAAGGCTTCCAGGAAGAGATCATATCTGAAAATGATTGTTATTATGTTATTATAATAAGTGCAATATCAAGTTTCCTTCAGATTTCCTTCATTTAGTTGGTTGGGGAATTCGCTGGGAGGCTCGTCAATGAATATTAGTCTGGGAAGAGAGTAAAACACCAAGAACTCAAAAAACAACTATAATATCATGTCCTGTGGGAGAAACCAAAGAGAAAAGGGCATGGTCTCAACTCTCAGGAGGTGGGAATCAAATGAGCAGAAATTAAGCATACACTAGAAAACCTTACTGTATAATATTTATATCAAAATATAGAGTTTATGGATGAGAAGAGTGGTGTGGACTATAATATTTGAGTAAGAGCTGGGACCAAGGTTTTGAACAGAAATTTAACCCAGATCAAAAAAGGAAGCCAATCAAGGAAACAACATTAAAAAGGTGAGCCTTAAGGGGTCAAGAATTGTTTATCTTTCAAATTTCTTTATTCTATTCATCTTTGGATTTATTAAAGCAGGCTAGGAAAAGTCACATCTTTTATCTAAATTTCAATGCATGTGCTTATGTGTATGTCTGTGTATTTTGCGACAGTGAAAGAAGATTTTATCAAAGAATGTGCAACTTGATCCTAGGCTACTCCATTGGAATAATGCACAAAGTCAGGCTGCAGATGCAAAGATCTACTCTGGCAGATATCTGATTCTTGGGGAAAAACATTAAAACAGTAAATAAAACCCATAAAACTAAAAGTTATAAGAAAATTCAGTCAACACCATAAGACAAAGAAAAATCTTTTTCAGTTGTCACTCAGAGGCTAATGGTGTACCATTTATAATTCTATGTTTAGCAACAGATAATACTTACATAGCATCTACTATGTAGCAAATGTTATATAAATAAGTTATTTAATCCTCAAAACAACCAATATAGTAGAGCTACTATTCCTCCCATTTTACAGAGGGGGTAACTGAGACACAGAGAGACTAATACACTCTTTCCTCAACACCAGTTTTTCGACTTTCACTAGAAGAATTTAGGTCAGTGCCATTGCCACGGTCTGACCCATGGCTCCTTGAGCCACAGTCACCATGTTTCCTAGCCTTGGCCCCCTCCCCTACCTTGGGGAGGTGAATCTCCTCTCTCCCTCTTTCTTTCTAATTTACTTCCTAAATACACTATATTTTCCACTCCAACGTCTGTGTAATTCTTCGCATCTTTCACGTGGTCCTTTCACATACTCCCAGTGGGCCCGACCTAACGTTTGGAGGCCCCACTGGGATATATTTTAACCTAACAGTATTGGAAGAGACATCTGGAAAAGACTGTGACCCCCAGTCTTCCAGAAATTTCACTGATGTGACAGATCTCTGTATTTTTCCTGTCTTCTATGCTTTGTCATGTACACTGTGTGTGTGTTGGAAAGCATCTAGGGTATAGATGCTTCCTGTGCACAGGCTGTATTCGCATAAGGTCAGCAGTTTATAAACAACCAAGATGTTCTAGGGCCTGCACTGCAGCACTGCCTTGGAGGGCTCAAGCTGCTGTCAGGCGCTGCAGTCAGCGAAGGTGTGCCTCCACCCCTGCCAGGTGAAAGCAGACTGTGCCTCGTGTTCTTTAAAAAGAAAAGGAAAGGAGGAGGAACTTGGACCAGAGGCTTTAAAAAGGCTTGTGGGTACACTGCGACCACAGATTGAAATCTTAAGTGAAATAATGCATGATACTATGTCGGCACAGAATCATAAACATAAATGTCAAATAATCCATGAGGTTAAGAGGTAGAGACGCAAATAGGAGCATGAGCAAGAAATAGCATGTTTATCAGCAGATGAAACGTTAGTCTCTGAATATTCCTCATGGGATTGAAGAATCCACCTTTTTCATAATACTTACGCACAGAACAGCATAAATCATAACAAATGACCACATTATGTACAGCAATGAAATAGCTAGTAGTAAAAAAGTATTTGTCATAACTTTTGCCCCTGCCGAACAGTAGAAAAATATTATTCCCCAGGTATAGTTGCTTTTTCGTTTAAACTACAAAAGCTCCCAAACAGAACTATACCTAGCATTTGTATTTTTTATAATCATTTGTTCCTGTAGTAGTCTTTTCTCCAGACTATGAGTCCTTGAGTACAGGTCTGAACTTATTCCTCTTGGGAATTAAAAGTCATTCCTACATCTAGTAGAATGAAGGTTTATTGAATGAATACATGATTTGATAGATGACTTTTAATAAAATCTAAGACACCAAAAAGCATTCTAGGAAAGTTAAAAATCTCAACCAACTTGTAAAGGTTTTTGCTATTTTCAGGCTAGATTCTATTAATAATTTTCTTCACCTGCCATTTAAGGCCTTTTCCACACCAGTCCTAATTAGCCTTCTTAAACTTATTTACTCTCTTCTTTTAGTTAGATACTGTTTATGAATTATTTTCTCTGGCACAAGCTATGTGCTTTCTCCTCTGGGTTTTTTTGTTTTGTTTTGTTTTGTTTTTTTGAGTTGGAGTCTCACTCTGTCGCCCAGACTGGAGTGCAGTGGCCGCTCCCGGCCACCGCAGCCTCGACCTGCTGGGCTCCGGCGATCCTTCCACCTCAGCCTTCCGAGTAGCCAGAATTACAGGCATGCGCTACCACGCCCAGCTGATTTTTGATTTATTGTAGAGATGAGGTCTCGCTGCCCAGGCGGGTCTCGAACCCGCGGGCTCAGGCAATCCACTCACCTCAGCCTCCCAAAGGTGCGGGATTACAGGCTGAGCCACTGAGCCTGGCTCTCCTCTGAGTTTTAACTTGGTAATCTTTAAAAGTTTTGGATTATGCTTTTTAAGGTTTACTCAGTATAAAATATTTGAGTATACTCATTTAACATTATGCTAATGTACTGACCTAAGCAAACATAAACATAGAAGAAAACAGACATTTTAAACGAATGTAGTTTTAACCTTTCTTCCCATCCACAATGCATTGCTCTGTGTGTACTCCACTCTAAAAATCACTGATTTACATCAAAAGAACAAAACTCAAACGGTTTTGTGAGGTTTAAGCAAACCAATCTATGTAAAGTACTTGGAGCAAGGCTGGGCACAGAGGAAACACTATAAACGCCATCTAATTTTACTACCATCATTCTCATCAGTACAGACCCTTCTGAATGAAATAATGTCCCTATACCCACCCTCCAGGCTCATCCCTATATGCCAAACTCCTTAAAAGCCAAATTCAAATGCCATCTCTTCAAGACATTATTTGCGTCAATCTTTTACAGGATTAGGATTTCTCACCGTAGAAAGTATCAAATCTACAGAGTTTAGCAAGAAGCCATGCCTAAGAAGCCAAAAATAAGCTGGAACAGTTGGGAAAAATTAAGGATGGGCTTATGGAAAATAATGCAAATGTAAAAATATGTGATTATTAACCACAAGAAAAATAAAATACAAAAAAGCAAATAAAGCCATAGTGAGTTATCTGACTATAAAAAACAATGTTTACATAGGCCTAATAATATAAATACTGATCACTAATTTTTAAAATTGTGATATAATTATATGGGAAAGCTGGGCATTATAGCATCCCACAAATTCTCAATTTTATTAGCAAAATTCTAAAGAAGATTAATCATAAACTAGAAGTTTAGATATGTTACTTTAAAACATATAAATATATACCAGAAGAAACAGTTAAAATATTTCAAAGTGATTATTGTCTCTGAGAAGTGCGACTGGAGAGGTAGAATCCTTTAGTACTATTTACTTTTAAACATTTTGCACATTATATATGTTATATACATATTGCATTGATATTATTATATTATACATAGTATATTGATCACACCACACATTTTGAAAGTAAAAGCAATTTTCTTAAATTTTAAAAATTAAAATTCTACATAAAGATGGCAAGTTGAAGATATGCATTCAACTCTATTCTCTCTCAAAACCACAGTAACACAACAAAAAAAATATTTAGAAATGCATGTAAATGTCCTGGTGAGAAAAAAAGATAAAGAAAAGATAAGAAATTTAATGCAAGAATTCCAGAAACCAGATTCCAGAAAGAAGGAAAATGGATGGAGAGAAAGTCGTAAAAAAAATAAAAAAAAAATAGCTGGGCTTGGTGGCTCAGTCTGTAATCCCGTGCCTTTGGGAGGCTGAGGTGAGTGGATTGCCTGAGCCCGCGGGTTCGAGACCCGCCTGGGCAACTTGGTAAGACCTCATCTCCACAATAAATAAAAAAATTAGCTGGGCATGGTAGCCACGCATGGTAGTGCGTGCCTGTAGTTCCAGCTACTCGGAAGGCTGAGGCGGAAGGATCGCCGGAGCCCAGCAGGTCGAGGCTGTGGTGGCCGGGAGCAGCCACTGCACTCCAGTCTGGGTGACAGAGTGAGACTCCAACTCAAAAAAAAAAAAAAAATTTCCCTGCAACAGAAGAATATGAACTTTGGATTGAAAAGTTCAAACGGACAAAATATACCCATAATGGGTGATATCAACATGAAATTGAAGAGCAATAAATAAAAAGAGAAGGTTTTAAAAGCCTCTAGAGAGAGAAAAAAATGTTAGGTCTAATGGGATCAGGAGTGAGAATTTGCCTGACTATTCTCTATAGTAATATAATACTTTCAAAATTTCTAAAAGAAAAAGAATTCTATATCTAATCAACCTATCAAGAGAGTGGAATAAATTATTTTATAACACACAAAGGCTCAAAAATATACTACCAATGCCTCTTTCTCAGGAATCTACTGAAAAATGTGTTCATACAAAACAAGAGAACCGAAAAAGGAAGACAAGAAATCTGGGAAACAGGAAACCCAAAGGTTCTCTATACCAGATAATATTAAAAGTAGTCCTGAGCTTACTGAGTTTAAGATCAAATCAACATGAAGGCATTCAGTTGATTTTTGAAATGATAAAACATGTCATTCGTTTTTAGATTTAAATAGCTTTTATAGCAGTCTAAGCACAAAAGAAACTTCAAGAGGTTTTAGCTCTTACCTGTAACACAGCAGCAAATAAGTATACCACTACGAAGATTATAGTTAAAGAAGTATGACCACTTTTCATCAAATGAATAGTGTAGAGGAAAATTAAATGTCCAGGAATCACTAAAAGCAGTAGAACTTGGGCAGATTTATTATTTACTCCTGTAATATAAAACGTAAAAGTCATTAAAACAAAATCGTATTTTGGTTAATAATAGATCATAGTGATTAAAATTTGAGGATTACTTTCTAGTTATCATACTTCATATTATCACATAAAATTCAATTGCCAAACATAAATTTCAACTAGTTACAATTCATTTAATTCTCTGACATTTCTACTTTATATTATATGTTAATCAAATGAAGGATGGTTGATAAAAACTTGCTAGGAAACACTGGTCAGATTTGACTATCATAAAAAACAGAAAGAAGACAAAGAGAAGATATAAAGTTCTTAAAGTACTAGCATATTTTAATTTTGATTCCTTTAGAGTTCCATCATTGGTATTACAAAGTTAGGCGTTTTTGATCTTTGTTCAAAAGTCAATAATCACATTTACTTTCGTCAGAAAAGAAAAGTGACAAGAATTATAAAGTTTAAAATTGAACTCAGGTTTTTGGTTACCACATGCCTTAGTTTTTTTTGTAATCACATAAATAAGGCATGGTTCCTTGTAAGCAAGGTTCTCTCTTCTCACCTTGTTTGGCATTAAATGCCTACATTACAGCCCACAGAATGGGGAAAAATATTTGCCAACTATATATTTGACCAAGGCTTGACATCTAGGATCTACAAGGAACTCAAAATGTGCCAAAAAAGAAAAAAAAAAAAGCCCTATTAAAAAGTGGGCAAAGCCGGGCTTGGTGACTCAGCCTGTAATCCCGTGCCTTTGGGAGGCTGAGGTGAGTGGATTGCCTGAGCCCGTGAGCTCGAGATCCACCTGGGCAACTTGGCGAGACCTCATCTCTACAATAAATCAAAAAATCAGCCGGGCATGGTAGCACAGGCCTGTAATTCCGGCTACTTGGAAGGCTGAGGTGGAAGGATCGCCAGAGCCCAGCAGGTCGAGGCTGCGGTGGCCAGAACCGGCCACTGCACTCCAGTCTGGGCGACAGAGTGAGACTCCAACTAAAAAAAACCAATCAAACAAACAAAAAAAAACCCCCCAAAAGTGGGCAAAAGATATGAATAGACACTTCTCAAAAGAAGATGTACAAGCAGCCAAAAGATACAGGAGAAAATGCTTAGTCTCACTTATTATCAAAGAAATGCAAATTAAAACCACACTGAGATACCACCTGACTCCAGTCAGGATGGCCATCATCAATAACTCAAAAAACAACAGATGCTGGAGAGGATGTGGGGAAAGGGGAACACTTCTACACTGTTGGTGGGAGTGTAAACTAGTACAAACTGTGGAAAACACTATGGCAATCCTGGAAAGATCTAAAAATTGACCTTCCATATGACATAGAGCAATTCCACTTCTGGGAATATACCCAGAAGAACTCAAATTTACTGCAGCATTATTCACAATAGCAAAAACATAGAACCAACTATGCTGCCCATCAAAACCAGGCTGGATTGAAAAAAAAATGTGGTACATATACACAATGGAATATTATACAGCCATAAAGAAGGAAAAAATTATGAACTTCACAGCAACTTGGATGGATTTAGAGTCTATAATACTCAGTGATCTATCACAGAAACAAAGAACTGAGTGCCACATGTTCTCACTCATAAGTGGACCTTGAACAATTATCATAATACTATAAGAAAGGGATTGGAGGTAGTGAGAAACTGCTGGGGAGAGAGGGGGGTGAGGGGGCATTGGTGGTAGTGGGAAACTGCCAGTAGGGGGGCACACATCAACAAGGGTACCTGCATAATGAACATTTGTATGCCTAACACTGAATTGTACCCCACATCTTTAAAATAAAAAATTAAAATTAAAAAAAAAAAGGGGGATTGGCAGTAGTGGGAAACTGCCAGTGGAGGGAGGGGAGGGGCTCACTTCATCAATAAGGGTACCAGATCTCAAATCAGGTGAAGTGGGGACCAAAGTGAGACCCAAACTTCACCTGTACAGTGACCATTTGTATATCTAATCCTGAATTGTACCCCACATCCTTAAAAAAAAATAAAGGGAAGAAAGTGAAAGAATTTGGAGACATTTTAAAACCAAAAAAAGAAAAAAAGGCCAAAGAAATTAATATAGGAAGATAGTATATCTGTTTCTCTAAGTCACTATCAATGCTTTTTGGTATATGCATAAAGTTTCTCTTTCATGGATAATAAACAAGATACCCCAGAGGGAGACATACATTAGAAAAATTATGCAACCATCCTCAGCAACTGCAGAACTGATACAATGACTTTTTGTTCGGTGCAATACTCACAAAGTACATATTCAATAAATATTGCCTGTCTATAATCTCAGAAAGCAATAGTCCCTGATATAAAATATGCAAAAATTCACAAGCACACACCTGGACCAAAAAAAGTTCTAAATGGGTAGTAACAACCTTTGGGTTCGTCGGGCAATTCTCCTGGAATGCTGTGTAAATGGAGGTAGGTAGAAATCCTGCTAGCCTGAATGGCTACCAAATTACCACCAATGCCTGCAACATAAGGAAAAACAAAGTAGTTATCTTCACATTTTAAACAACTTGTATACATTCAGCCAAAAGCAAGCCTCTTTATGGAACATTCTGGGCCAATAAGACAAAATAAAGAATTTTTCTGAAGTGTTGACTTATTTAATGTTGAGGTGTACATTTCAAAGGCATAAAATCATTAAGAAAGATTTATTCATGATTTTTTTCAAACCTGACTAACTGTCTGGTATGAAAACAGACCAGAGCCAGGTACTTTTCAAAAATCATTATTAGGCAAGGCACAGTGACTCATGCCTATAATTTCAGCACTTTGGGAGGCCAAGGTGAGATGACTGCCTGAGCCCATGGGTTCGAGACCAGTCTGGGCAACTTGGTGAGACCTCATCTCTACAATAAATCAAAAAAAAATTAGCCGGACATGGTGATGTGTGCTTGTAGTTCCAGCTACTTGGAAGGCTGAGGTGGAAGAATCACCTGAGCTCAGCAGGTCGAGGCTGTGGTGGCCGTGAGCGTGCCACTGCACTCCAGCCTGGGCAAAAGAGTGAGACTCCAATTCAAAAAATAAAAATAAAAATCATGATTACAACCAAGATATAAAATTAGGTACCATAATGTTTCATGCTTATCCCCTTAATAAAAGGAAGAATGAGCTAGATTTATTCAAATAGACAAGGCATGAAATATTTCTTCTCAGCTTACTAAAGAAATTGGCGTAGACACTGCAAAAAATACTCAGAAAGTCTCTTTTAACCTAAATGATACTCTCATATACTCTGAGGCAGAAGAGTTGATTCCAAGATGTAAAATGAATTCCAAAAGACTTGGTAAGCCCCTCCACGGTGAGACAGGACCTCAAATTTCTCCTTTTGCAGAGTACAGGAGGAAGAGGTAACAGCCATTAAAGCAAGTAAAAAGAAAACAACTGAAAATTTCAACTTCTTAAATACTGGGTGAAGGCCCGTCTGAGACTGACGGTAGAACAAGAGAATCCCAAACCCCATCTCATGTCTGGCACCGAGGAAGAAGCAGCAGTCATTTACTAGTGGAAGAACAGCAAGAGCACAGATAATTAAGCCTTCCATGCTGCAGGCATACAGCATCCAGGCTTCACACTAAGCAGAGGGTAGCAGGAGCATGCCGGCAAAGAAACCTGAAGTCAGTGGTGTGCTGAAGGTAATTTGATGACCACAAAAACAAACCCAGTACAGCTACTGACTAGGTTGACTCAATTTTACATACGAATGACCTAGCAGGAGAAAGTGCCCATTTCTAGGCATAAATAAATAATATTTATCTCAAGTGCTAAAGATCTTTTATATACAATGTCCAGCATTTGATTTAAAAATTGTTAGACAGTAAAAAGCAATAAAGAATACAGATCATTGATGAAGTTAAGAAGTCAACAGAAATAAACTAGAGATGACTGAGGTGTAGAAACTACCTGATAAGGACTTTAAAGTAACTATGATTAATGAGTTAAAAGATCTAGTGGAAAAAGTGTACACTATGTATTAAAAGATGGAGACATAAATAACTTAAAAGCTAAAATATGGAAAAAGAGATACGCAAGCACTAATAAGAAGAAGGTTAAAGTGATCAATTACTAGGGATAAAGATAGACATTCAGAAAGGCTTACAAAGGTCAATTCATGAAAATGATAAAGCGATTTTAAATATAGACACACCTAAAACAAGATCTTCAAAATATATCAAGCACAAACGGATAAACCTGAAAGGAGAAATAGACAAATCTATGTTTACACACAGACTTTACCACTCTCTCTGAAGACTTTAGTAACACTATCTTGATATAGAGACCTGCTAATGTCTGTCCATATTGTCACAGCCCCTGGAGAAGGGCATGGCCAGGGCTCAAGCACTCCTGTACTTTCCTGAACAATATTCCTTAGAGCTAATAAAAGGTGTTCTTTTCCTTATCCCTTATGTACTCCCAGTAAGTAGCTGCAAGAGATCCTTAACTTCCCTGTAGTCTACACTCAATCAACTGAAAGATGCAAATCTCCATTTACTCCCTTTTTCTGAGTGGTTATTAGTTTGAGTAATATAGTATCAATGTAATTGTAAGCCTTGTGATTTGTATAACTTTTATATCAATGTACTCATAAGTTTTGTTATTTATATAACTGCTGCGTAATGCATGATGTCTTACACCTTGTAAACTCCCTTTACTCTATGGCAAGCTTGATTAATGCGTCTGCCGGGCCCTAATGATAAAATCTATGAGACACCTCTGATACCCGGCACCAGCAAGTCTAGACTGAAAAAAGTCACTATGGATAAATGCTGCTGAAACTCAAATTCTGTACAATGCTTTGCTGGTCATGTGGCTAATGTGTGGGTACTAACAACTCCAGACTTATAAAAGTGAACTGTACAAGGGTACCTGCATGATCAACGTTTATATACCTAACCCTGAATTGTACCCTGCATCTTTATAATAAAAATAAAATTAAATTAAAAAAAATTTTTTTAAAGTGAACTGTAAAATCCTTTCAGAAAGACCTCAAGTCTGGCTCTGCTTTCTGGATTCGAACTCAAAAATAAACTTCTTTCTACCAGTTCCCTGCCCCTTTGATTTACTGGTATCTAGGGGAGAAATCGAGCATTACTCAGATCATCACAATCTGTCAATTTGATCTAAATTAAACTTATAGAACACACCATCCAACAGCAGCAGAATACACTTTACACGTGTACACCGCAACATTAATAAAGACAGACCACATCATGGGCCATAAGACATGCCTTAATAAATCAGAAATGAATAGAACATGCAAAGTACACGCTTTGCCCATAATAGAAAAGTAAGGTATCTGGGGATTCCCTCAGACAGTTGGAAAGTAAGCAACACATTTCCAAATAACCCACAGGTCAGAGAAGAAAACACAAAGAAATTTGGAAAATATTTTGAATTTAACGCAAATGAAAACACGACATATTAAGAAATATGGGAGACACATAAAAGCAGTCCTCAGTCGTTCACAGCATTAAATACTTATTTGAGAAAAGAAGAAAGGCTTCATACCAGTGATCTAGAAAAACAGAAAAAAATTAAACTAAAAGACAGTGCTAAGAAGGAATAATAAGTATAAGAATACAAATCAATGAAATAGAAAACAAAAGCAACAGAGAAAATAAATGAAGCGAAGTCAGTTTTCTGAATATATCAAGAAAAAGGGGGAGAAGACACAAATTCCAAGATCAAGAATAAAAATCATCACTACAGACAGTGCAAGCATTAAAAGGATAATATAAACAACTTTAAAAATACTAATCAATTAGCAAATCAAATTCAGCAAAATATTAATGTATAATACATCACAACCAAATTGGATTTATTCTAGGAATGCAAGACTGATTGAATAGTTGGAAATAAATCAATGTAATTCAGCACAGTAATAAATAAATGAAGGAAAAACAATATAACTGTGTGAATAAATGCAGAATAATCTATAATATTCAACACTTAGGATTAAGAACCCTTAGCAAACCAGGAATCAAGCAGGGCTTTGATCTGATACACACACACACACACACACACACACACACACACACACGAAACCTGAGGTATGATAAAGGAAGTAATGCTGATTAATAAATAGTACTACAGACTTTCAATAAGCAGTGCTAAGATAATTGGTTATTATATGACAAAAGACTCATGAAATTTGATCACTACTCTTGTCTCATGCTGAACAATAAATTCCAGGTGAATTAAAGACACAATGTGGGGCGGGGCGGGGGGAGATGGGATTAACAGTAGCAAATATCTGTCTGGGGATGGGGAAACACCTCTTATCAACAGGGTGCCTGCCTGAATGAAACATACTTGTACACCTAACCCTTAACTGTACCCCACAAAACCATAATAAAAAATATTGATTATGAATATTTTTTAAAAAAGACACAATGTAAAGGAAAAATTATTAAATTTTACAAGATAACATAGACTGGTTAGGAAGGATTTTTTTTTTTTTTAACAAAATGGAAAAACTGCAAACCATAAAAGAAAAGGTTGATAAATTTGACTACAGTATATTAAAACCTTCTGTTCATCAAAAGACACTGTAGAGAAAGTGGAAAGATAAGTCACAGAGTTGAAGAATATTTTTGCAACACATAATTGGCAAAGGACTACCATTCAGAATTTATAAAGAACTCCTACAAATAGAAAAAAAGGAAACAGTATTTGGATAGTTCAAAAAAGAGTTTAACCAAATTGTCAGTAAACGTATGAAAAGGGAACCTCATTTGGTAATCACAGAAATGCAAAGAAAAGCACAACAAATACCATTTCACACCCATCAGAAATGGCAAAAACCTCTAACCTAAAAACATCAACTGTTTGAGAACTCTTACACAAAGCTAGCAAGAGTGTCAATTGTTACAATTCTTTTGAAAAACACTTCAGCACTGTTGCTTCATAATGAGCAGCTGATGTGCACACCCTACCAACTGGCAATTCTACTCAAATACTTATAGAAATGTGCACCAGTTGGAAGAATGAGCTCTGAAAGAAGTATGAAATCAAAAGAACTGAACCTCTTAAAATTCAGATAAATTTCACTTATCTTAGACTAAATATAGCTTCATGATTTCCTCATCACATTTCATTTAGTAAATAAAAAATTCATTAAAGCAAATGCTTAAGGAAATTTAAAATGCAGTTCGTTATGTAACTGTTTTTAAAAATGCATCCCTGGGAGTTCTGAACAACTTTTTAAAAGGAGAATAAATTTCTTGTAAAATGTGTCTAAGAGTCACCTGAACTAGATAGAATAACCAAGCACCTGCAGGGTCTGTCTTGTAAAGTTATGACTGTGGTTCCAACCATGAGGATTTGCAAATAGCCTCCATCACTTACTATGACTTCACTGATATTTAATCTCTTGGAGCTTCTATTTTCTACTCTGAAAATAAGGATAATTTAATGTCTACCTCACAAAGATGCTAAGAGAATTAAATAAAATAATGCATACAGA